GACTATCCTGCAGTATTCACGAATGGCGCTTTCTGTCAAACTGATAGTAAAGCCATTCGTATTACTGGAGAACATTCGGTGTGAGTTAAAATACAAAGGAAAGGAAGTAGTTCCAGAGGAAATGAAACCCATGAACCAAAATTCAGTCTTTTTCACAAAAGCCCTGAAGTATTTGTTTCTTTCCCCTCTACCCCCTACAAGACCTGAGGCCCTGCGGACTCCACTGTCGTGTTCCCTATCAGAGGATCATACCTAGTAAGGCAACCTTCTTACTTCCCAAGGAAACGCTCCGGCAGAAGCACACTCAGTCCCCAGATATTAAAACGTAAAAAGCTAGGATTAAGAATAAAGCTTATCTTTCACAGCCAGTGCTCCAGAGTTAAGGCCATTCACCAGGCCATGGTTAGATGTTAACCAGAGGTGCAAACTTAATGTGCAGAGTAAGCAGAGGCACCCTAAAACACGACACCGGCCCAAGTCTTCATGCTCCTGGGTGTCAGTATTTCCCATGCATTTCATTGTCTGAATTTTAATGAAAAAAACAAAATGAGAATGTGCATGGAGGAGCCAGTACTGATATTGAATCTTGACTGCTATTTACCACTCCTCAGAAAAATATATTAAACAAAATGCAGAGTCACGTAGTTTAAGCTACTGTCTATTTGTTCATAAAGGAAAATGCTTTATATGCAGAAATTTCAAGTGAGAGGAGATGTCAGGTCTCCAAAAGCAGCTATTATCAAACAAAGCAGCCAGAAAATTAATGCACTGCAGATGGCTGTGACCTCAACCTTGGATACGAGCCAGTGTCTTCGTCTCTCTTGGTAGAGTTTTTGAACTCTCTCCTACCCACAAAGCCTCCTTAAATGTTCTAGTTCTTTGACATAAAATTCTTTCCCCTCTTTTACAGAGTATTGCTTTAACTGTCTAGTTTTTCTTTCCATAAACCCTTGCTGACCTTTACTACAAGTGAGGCACTAAAAAAGAATGGTAAATTGACAATAGTCAGGACATTGGTGTTAAATGTAAAGAGGAATGGGTCATTTAAAGAACAATCAGGTTGATTCTCCTCTTCCAAATCAAGGTCCCCCTTCCAGACAGCCTGCCTGTGTCTTCGTTCCATATCCAATTTATAAAGAGGTTTTTTTTTTTTAATTTTTTTAAATGTTTATTTATTTTTGAGAGAGAGAGAGAGAGAGAGAGAGAGAGAGAGAAACATAGCACAAGCGGGGAAGGGGCACAGACAGAGGCAGACACAGAATCCAAAGCAGGCTCCAGGCCCCGAGCTGTCAGCACAGAGCCCAATGTGGGGCTCCAACTTACAAGCTGTGAGATCACGACCTTAGCCAAAGTCCGGCGCTTAACCGACTGAGCCACCCAGGCGCTCCTTGCCATATGCATTTTAAAGTGGCTCTTTATCCCAGGCAGCTAAAAGAGGGAATCTCCACTTTGTAAAATGGCTCCATCATCCCTTTATCTCCCTGGCTACAGAAGTTGAGCCATTCTGGAGGGTGTGTGTTCTTTTGTTCTTGCCAAACAAGTACACTCACCTGACTTCCAAATGACTGAAGAGTTTTGTGTTTTAAGTAGTACTTTATTCTGGTTAATTGAGAATTGCCACTTATATAAACCACCAACCAGGCTGCAAACAAAATAGGGCAAAAGACTCACAGTAGCAACTTCCTTTGCATTAGGAAAATGCACACCCAAGAGTTTAATAACAAAACCATATACCTTTTTACACAGTTGGTATTTTGTTTATGTGTATCATGACTAATAGTAATGGCTGTAATTCATCACAACAGAAAAGCAATCAACTGCTCTAGCTGTAGAAAATTAAAATTGATTGAGACCTTTTGTCTACCCTGGCAGAAGCTAATAATTACATCATTATTAACAATATCGCCAGTAGCCAAATTTTTTTAACTTCTTTTGGTTTAAGACAAATAGAACAAAATCAAGTTAATGTATTCAAGTTGAGTGATTCTGTGGAGCAGGCTACTCCCATGTGGATCTACCATTGGCAGAACATCCACTCTGGACTAAGGACTGTCCTACGTGTTTGCACACTGGATTCATTTTATCCTCCCCACATCCACGGAGGCACATTGGTGATAGATGAGGAACTATGAAAATGAAGTAACCAGCCCAGGAGCACAGAGCCAGGACACAGACTCAAATCCAGGGCCTGTCTCACTCCAAAGCCTCCATTCTAACCAATGAGCAACTACACTGTCGAACAAAGACCTTCTAGATGAGTACAGGAAACACCTGTCACAGGTACATACTCAAACACCTGGAAAACAAAACATTCTTCTTAGAAACCATCTCTTAATTTTTGTGATCCAGAGTTTTCTGAAGGCTAAACAAAACTGGTATGTATACAGTCTCAGAGGATGTCCCCAGGCCATAGAATGTTCCCAACAACAGGCCAGGGATAGAGAGGAATAAAGGAAATGAAGAGTCATTAACCACACTCAGTGTCCTTAAGACCAAGCTCTGATGTCATTTATTTCCACCTTCCAAGAATACTGGGATGGCCCGGCATGGACAAGTGACAAATACTTGTCAATTAAGTTTGTGAAGATAATGGCAAATGCCACTGAGAAAGACTTGCATTAAACATTAACTCAAGCTAATGTCCCCTCCTTGCAAAGATGGCCAATGTGAGGTTAGGAGAGTCAGGTGCGTGGTTGGATGGAGCTGAACTGTGTTCTGAGTATGCACAAACTAGATTACAGAGCCTCAAAGGAAGTTTTCCCAGATGGATAGAAGAGTCCAACAAGCAGCAGCTCCCAAATCTGAAATGAACCTGTGTTCTTGGCTGGACTGTGACCATTTATTAGGCTCTAACTGATGGTCAGAAGCAGTGAGCAAGATGCTCCCTGTTACACAGCTCTGAGGGAGAGGGTAGGAAGAAACTTTGTTCTGATGTTCTCCCAGGGTGCCCCTGCGGCATCAACCCTTTCATGAAAGAAGCCACCTTAAACTAAGTTATACAAAGTAGTTATTTGATTCATGTTTTCTCTCCTTCCTCTCTCCCTGACTCTTCCTTTATGGCAATCACATGATTGTCTTGGTCTGTCCCAGGCCAGTAGAGGAAGACATTCCCAGTCCCCCAAAACTGCACAGTGGTGGTAGTGGCCGGCTCAATCTCCCTTAAATAAGGCCCTACATCATGGGGGAGAAATTAGCACCATTAGAGGCCAAGTGTTCCTTTAACTCACTTTGTTCTCTCTTCTGCCTAAACCCTGTGCCTAAGGGAGCTGCATGGGTTCTCTAAATTTCAATGATGGAACAGTTGACCATGGGCTAGTGTTCCCATGTATTCTCTCATCTCATACCTAACTCCCGTATTTATCAATAAAAGAAAAGTTTGTGGCTGCTTATGATTTTGTATTCCACCCTTATGAATGTTCTACTACTAAAAACATATAACGATTTTTATGGACCAATTGGAAATTTGAACGCTGATTCCATATTTAAAAATATTAAGGAAATATTAAATTTCTATTTAGGAGTGGGAATGATACTGTAATATTTGGGGTTTTTTAAAGAATGCATAGCTTTTGGGGCGCCAGGGTGACTCAGTCGGTTAAGCGTATGACTTGGTTTCAGCTCAGGTCATGATCTCACAGTTTGTGAGTTTGAGCCCTGTTTCAGGCTCTATGCTGACAGCATGGAGCCTGCTTGGGACCGTCTCTCTCTCCCTCTCTCTCTCTGCCCCTCCCCTGCTCTCTCTCTCTCTCTCTTTTTCAAAATAAATAAATAAACTTTAAAATATAAAAGAATGCATAGCTTTTATATCTATATATGAAAATATTTACAAATTGGATGATATGCTGTCTGGGATTTGTTTCAAAATAACATGGGAGGAGTTGCAGCAGGTGGGAGTATGGGTGAAACAAGATTGCCCTTGAATTAATTATTGCTGGAGCTGGGTAATGGGTTCATTGTGCCAGGTTTGTTTTTGTTTTTCGGTGGTACTTTTTCTGTATGTGTGAGAACTTTTTGATAGTAAAAAGCTTTTTTAAAAAAGAATCAAAATTAGCTAGATTAAAAAAAAATAAAATATAAAATATAATTGGTGACTTACTTTAATTCACATTAGGAAATTATATTTTTCAAAAATACTTTAAAATATGTGCAATTTGCATGATTGAATGTTAAATGGAATAGGAAGATCTAAAACTGCACATAAAATGCTGCATATACATAATTATTTACACATGCATATAAATGGAAGAAAAACTACATAAAATGTATATCAGAATTTTCCCTGGCTGGCAAGAATATATATTATTATTCTTTATTGTTACTTTTTTTTCTATTTTTCAAGTGTTCTGAAAAGAAAATATGTTTACAATTTCATAAAGTTCTTTTTATAAACTATACTCATAATGTTAGGGGAAAAATAGTTACAGAACTGAATGTGAAATTCAGTTATAAAATGGGTGTGAATGGTGTGTGCGTGTGTGTGTGTGTGTGTGTGTGTGTGTGTGTTTATCTAAAATAAATAGCATCATATTGTTAATAGTGATTATCTCTGTGTGATAGCATCATTGGTCATTTTTATTTTTGTTTGACTCTGTATTTTCTCCAATTAACAAGAATTATGTTATAATCAGAAAAAACATGAAAAATTAAAGCTAGATTTATTGTACTTCTTTAGAAGTAAAGGACTATCTCTGTAGGGCAAACAACATACAAGTTTAAGAAACCATGCATTATATATAGCAAATATATATTATATACATTAGTATAATATTATCACTACATATAATGTCACTACATATAACCATATATTATAACCATATATTAAATTTTATATAATAACCACATAATACCTGTAAAGACAGGAGACTTTTAAATTCTCATTGAAGGTATATGTTGAGATTTTAAACAATGTTAATACAGAATCCTTTGCACAGCCACCATGATGTAGCGATACTCACAGATGATTCCTTCATAATCATGTTTCGTTTTCTGTCCAACTCCAGGGATATCTATGCCAATACCAGTCTTTGGACTACAGGATGATTCCAAGGTCTTTAAGAAAGGGAGCTGCTTACTTGCCGACGATAATTTCGTCCTGATCGGCTCTTTTGTGTCATTCTTCATTCCCTTAACCATCATGGTGATCACCTACTTTCTAACTATCAAGTCACTCCAGAAAGAAGCTACTTTGTGTGTGAGTGATCTTGGCACACGGGCCAAACTAGCTTCTTTCAGCTTCCTCCCTCAGAGTTCCCTGTCTTCAGAAAAACTCTTCCAGCGGTCAATCCACAGGGAACCAGGGTCCTATGGCAGAAGGACTATGCAGTCCATCAGCAATGAGCAAAAGGCCTGCAAGGTGCTGGGCATTGTCTTCTTTCTGTTTGTGGTGATGTGGTGCCCATTCTTCATCACGAACATAATGGCCGTCATCTGCAAAGAGTCTTGCAACGAGGATATCATCGGAGCCCTGCTCAATGTGTTTGTTTGGATCGGTTACCTCTCCTCAGCGGTCAACCCACTTGTGTATACACTGTTCAACAAGACCTACAGGTCGGCCTTTTCACGGTATATTCAGTGTCAGTACAAGGAAAATAAAAAACCATTGCAGTTAATTTTAGTGAACACTATACCGGCCTTGGCCTACAAATCTAGTCAACTCCAAATGGGACAAAAAAAGAATTCAAAGAAAGATGCGAAGACCACAGATAACGACTACAGTATGGTTGCTCTAGGAAAACAACATTCAGAAGATGCTCCTACAGACAATATTAACACAGTGAATGAAAAGGTTAGCTGTGTGTGATAGACTGGTTGCCATAGCAACCATGGAGGGCACACTGGGCAAATTTTTACCTATCTGGGGGAAAAAAAAGACAAAGGGGAGACTGGAAAAAAAATTAGGCCGATCTAGTAGAACCAACAATAATATTTATATGCCTCATTTTATTCTGTCAATGAAAAAAAAAAAAAGGCAGGGTTAAAAGACACAAAATGTGCACTTCAAAAATGTTCTGACAGCATTTCAGCTGTGAGCTTTACGATACTTATTTTTAACATTGTAAATGATATACATCTTTAAAATAATTAGCTTTTATTGTAAAATTATAATGAGGCCATAAATAAGTCTAAATTAACTTCTATTCCAAGTGGAAACCTTGCTCCTACGTTAGTTGATGGCATGAGTTGGTTACCTATTGCTGTAAATAACAATAGCTACAAATAGTGAGAAGTTGGGTGAATATAATATAATGACCTCTTAAAGAAAAATCCTCTTTAAAACTTATGCTACATATTTTGAACAACAAAAAAGACACTAACGACGGTGTTATGAAATCTGTATTGTTAAGATACTTAAATGAAATACTTGACAACTTTTTCATTCCTGCTTTTTCACAGATGTCGTTTTGAAATATTCACAAAGTTGCTGACATTTGCTGCATTTCAACTTAATTCTTCAAAGAAGTGAAAAAGTTTTAAAATGTTATTTAATAACTACTGCTGCTTTCTCTTCTACTATTTGTGCTTTATTCTGAATTTCCAATGTGGTCTTGTTTAGTGTTTCTTCTCATAGGTAAACTATCAAAAGGATAACTTAACATTACCAAATACATTTCTAGAAATTGCTTCTCCTAAACGACACCATAGTGGTGTTTGGTAACTCGCTGTTTAATGACTGCACCGTGCATGCGCTCCATTGAGCAGTAAGCAGTATTGATGTAACTGTGTCAAGATTGAGGAATAAACTCAGGTTTTTGGCTACTGCCAGCAGTACAGTCTTAGGAGATCTCTGTAAAATAAATGCAGGTGACTTTCCCATTGGCACCCATCAGGTAAATTGATGCTTTCTGATCAATTAATCTCTATTATTTGCCAAAATTGTTCAGCTTTGGTCTCACGATCATCTACTGAGTGTACATTATCTGTGAAGAAATTTCCTGGGTACTGAGGATATAAAAATAATTAAAACAAGATCCCTGCTTTTAAAGCAAATGACCTAATTGGAAGAGTCCTTGTCAAAAATATTAATTAACAGACATTTTGAGAATTGGTTCAAACTATTTCCTTCTACATAGTTCAGAAAAAGGCTTGTTTTGACCCTGAGGGTAATTTTCTCAGTAAGTTTCCTGATTGGTTGTCGATGAATATCAACCAAATGACCGAGAGGGAAAATATTACATGAGGTCAAAATTTGTAATTAGTTTAGAAATATACACCTCAACCTGGGCCCAACATATGACTACCAAAGTTTGGAGCAAAATTTTGGTTCATTTCCATAAAAACTAACTTCTTTATTACTTACTAACACTGGACTCCATAAAAAAAAAAAAGCAATAATATAATGCTATGTAAAAAAGTTTGCTAAAGAGAGAAAGACTAACAGCAGTTAATTCACCTTGACGTCACTCGAGATTCAATTACATATCCTTACTAAAATAGAAGTTAGGTATGAGATTACAATACTGAAGCATTTCTATTGAATGAAAAATAGTGTTTTGCACTAAGCCATTTGAAAAATATTATGGATTTGAAAACTAAAGAATGTGGGAGATGCCACTGTGTAATTTGGAAATGTATTAAGACTATCCAATTATGTCCTTGTAGATACATTGAAAGATATGTATTTCAAAGCTAGAATTTATAGTAAGCCACTTGTATCAAGGCTGCATTTGAACTGAACTACTTTAATGATTACACCATACTAACTGATAAAACTACAAATGTTAAAAAATCTCTTCTCTACTGTATTTTGCCTTAGTTTGTAACTCTGCACATCTCATTAAATATTAGAGAAAAAATTCCAGATTCTATCCCCATACACTCAATCTTGATCAGAATGAACATAAATACTGCCTGACAGATATCTTTTGACTACATATATATTACAAATGTGTATGTGTTTTCTTTCCATAAGTATCTATTCAAGTGTATATAGACAACCATGTATCTGCGTACATGTACAGACATGTTCTCATGCACTTTATTCGATATTTATATATTTATATGGAGAAAAAGCAAGAAGTCATTAATGAAAACCTTCAATATATACACATGTGTGCATGTTTGTATCCTGTCCATTAAAATGTGAATTCATGTTCTAATGTTTCTATGACCTTCCATTGCGGTCAAAGGCAGATTAAAATGTAACAGAAGTATCAGCTCTTTAAATAAACTGGAAATTCACCTGATTTTATGGGAAGACTTTAACACAATTCTGTAAGGGTGGTGAAAACAATAGTCCTTATATACAGTTGAGTGATCTTGAATAAAATGGTACCTTTGGGCCCTTTGTTTAGTCTAGGGACTTTCTGACTACTAAGGATTTCAAAAATACACCCCCAGCCCCAGTGAAACACGGTGCTTGAATGATTTATGGATCTGTGATTAAAGGACTCACTCCTAGTCAATACTATTAAAATACAGTGACCAACCTTACTCTACTTTAAGTTGAATGGTAGATTCTTCTATATTTAAAGAAAGGAATTAAATGCCATACCTAATTAGGGGAAACACTCAGTTTAGACATACTTAATCTACTTGGCCACAGCGGCACCTCATGGTCATTTTTTAAAGTGCTACCGTAGCCAAATTGAACTAAGTTACTGTACTGCTTTTGGCAAAGGGTGCTTTTCCCATTTGCGAATCTATGAAACATGTTCATAAAGTGTTAAATTATTCTGTGCCATATATGATAAATACAGTGAAGATTATTTTGTGTAATGATTTTAATCAAGGTAATTCTAAAAGATTTCAAGAAAGAAGGAATAATTATCAATAAAGTCTACTCAAAAATCAATGCAATGATGTGAGTCCATAGTTTTGTCTGCCAAAGGGAGTGACCCACACCTTTCAGATACTCACACTAGGAACTCCATGTATCATTTAGATATTTTGAGAGAACAAAGCCTGTTCTTCTGAAGTTCAGTGACTCAACTAGGACTTACCTGCTTATGATTCAGCTTCCAGTTATCTGCAGCAGAGACACTACACATTTGGTCACTCTGTCTGGTTGCACACAGCCCAGAAACATAGAGAACTGCTGCTGTAACCCCAACACATGCACACAGGTACTGATGGCCACGTGTGTACAGGCGTACCCCAAGACATGCACGGGTGCATTCACACAAACAGTACACACATTTTCACAGGAGATAATTTCAGGAATTAAAGTAAACCAAGAAGACACAGTATCATTGAATAAACTGGAAAGCTGCCTTGAGTTGTCATTTCACCTCTAAATGTTGGAAAAGTTTATGAAATAGGGACAGCAGGTATCTTTTCCAGGTGTTTACAGCTCCCTGTATTGAGTACCTACCACGTGCCAGGCATTAAGCTGTTCGATTTGTTTGCTTCACCTAATGGAATCTTCACAACAATCCTATAAAGTAGGTATTATTATGCCTTATTTTTCATAGCTAAAGAAACTGAGATTCAGAACAGTTAGTAATGTGGCCAATGTCCCACAGCTGCCAAAAAAAGAAAAAGTGGCAAGCCTGGCTCATCTGACTCCAAAAAATAAGTTCTCGTTTCTACCCAATCTGGCAGAGAACAAAGAGAACTGAGTTTAGAACCAAAGGATGCGCGATCCCATCTTGGCTTGGACAAATCACTTAATAACCCCGTGTCTCAATTTCATTGTCTCTAAAAATGACAGCTACTAGCACCTGTCCTGACTGACAGCATCACTTAAATGAGGTCATAACTATAGCTGTGCTTGATAACCTGTAAAGCACTATGTAAATGTAATAACTGTTGTTATTAAAAAGAAAAAAAAAACACAGCCATTATATATTATTAGCTATCAGAGCAAAAAGTAGACAAATTGTGGGATAGTCAATATTATTATTCAATAGCTTCCACATTCTGTGAATACTCTCATTTTTAATTTTTTTTTTTTTACTTCTGCTTTGTCCTCACCATGATGCAGCATTCCCTTTGCTGGTACTCTTTCTTCCTGCTCACATCAAAACTTGCCCATTCTATGACCCATTCCATTAGGTTTCTCCTCTTTGCTGGAGCACCAATAAGTAATGCAGGCTGATAAACTATTGTCTATCACTGAGGTCCCTTTAGCTGTTCACCATGATATTAATCCAAAAGGTAAAACTTTAGCACCAGGAAGACAAGTGAGAAAGAAATTTAGGGACAAGAAATAGTCTCCTGGTATCACTCAAATGACCCACAGAAAAACAAGCACCTTCAGAAACTCCATAATTTATATAAAGTTTTATAACTTAATATTAAATTTCAATCCATAATAATAACAGCTATTTGAAAGAAAACATCTGATTTCTAAGATTTGATTTTAACTGAGAACACTAATAATATTACCAAGTTTATCTCAAGTTTAATACCCAATGGACATTTGCCCCAGTCGCTATGCAGTAAGACAAAAATTTTGTTAAATTTTTATTATTTTAACAGGTGGCTTGCTAAAACAAATGGTTTCCCTATTTTCCCTAGTGGTACATACCCCAGTCTTACCTCTATTCTTCGTTTTAGATATTTAACAACAGTATATCCACCTTAGCTAACACATGATGGGCGGTTTTCACCCCCAATTGGAGCCTCAGGATTTGATGTAACCTATTGTCATGGAAGACTGAGGAAGGAAACCGAGGTTCAGTCTGCTGCTACTTTCTGAACCTGCACAAACAAAGCCTCTCTTCCCTTGAGTGTATACTATGGGACTAGAGTCACTGATCTTTTCAAAAGGTCTCTTCTAGGTTTATGCTTATCTCAATGCTACGGAGTCCAGTCAAGGCTTTGATGAACCAAGACACAGCTTCATGACCAAAGAACATT